AAATTTAGTTTTTGTTGTTTTTTTTCAAAGCTCGTAAAAAGAAGTGATAAAAATGTAAATAAAAGAGCTAAAATTCATTGTTTAAAAAGGATATACAGTCTTATTTCTTCACTTAAATGCTCTGTTTGTTAGTTTTTTTATGCTTTTCTTCGTAAAATTGTGTCTGAAATGTTTCTATCTCCACGGAAACCAAACCAGACCAAGTTCCAGGTCAGATCTGTGGAGATTTGAGCCGGCTCCCAGTCAGAATGTTTGTTTTTCGAGGAGTTTTTGAGCTCTAAATCCATCTGTAATTGAATAAATGTAAAGTAGAGCAGTTTAAAGTCACACTGCGGGACATTTAAGGTTGTGGATCTTTGTTTTTTGAGGTTTGTGAGACTTGAACTTTGAGCCGCTGCAAATTAAATCAAAAGTCATGCCTCAGAAATTGGTTTCCTCTCGTGGCTCATGTGATTTTTGGGATCAGAGACTCAGAGACTCAGAGCTGCTGCCGACGTAAAAACACGTCTGGGATTAAAAATAAAAAATAAAATAAAAACTGTAGGTGTGTTTTAAAGCCGTGTGATATCAGAAAAACTAATATTTGATAAGAGGGATAATGGGGATTTTAGAAAAGTCGATTCTTAAAAGGATCACGATTCTACGTCTTCACCAAATTCTCCAAAAATTCAGATTTGAGATTCTCGCTTTTGGATTTAAGAACAGTTTTAGTTTGTTTGGATTTACAGTTCACATAAAGGATTGTTTGTTGTCAAATTTACAAACATTACTGGTCAAAAGTTTTACAACACCCTCATTTTTTCAGATATTTATTGTGAATTTAAAATCATTTTAGAATCAAGAATCAGGATCTCAAAATCAAACTCAAGCAGAATCTCCAGAGATTAAAGATTCACGTTCGTATTTGATAACAGTGTTTATTTGGGCTGAGACCAGGACTGAGACCAGGACCGAGACCGGGACTGAGACCGGGACCGAGACCAGGACCGAGACCGGGACCGAGACCAGGACCGAGAC